GTTTTTCCTGTTTTTTTTTAGTGGAAAGAGTTTGGGGTTAGTGATTCCCTGTTTCTGTCAGTCGGAGAGAGCGGGAGGGCGCAGGGCTGTGCGTGTCGTGGAGAGGGAGGGAGGTGTGGGGCTTGTGCGCTGTCAGGGGGGAAGGGGGGCCCCAGCAGCAGGCCCTGTGGGGCTGAAAAGGGATGTGATCCCGTGGTCCCTTAAATTATTTCACGCAAATCCATACCGAATCGAAGTACCACCTCAAGACACATCAGCGAGCTGTGATTTCAGCCTTCAGTGTGGTTGTGGCGAGGTGTGGATCAGGCAGGGGTGTAGGCTCCTGCTAGAAGTGAACTGTCTGTGGGAACTTCAGGGGAGATGCTTTTATGTCTCCCCACTGCTGCTGCCTCTCTGCGAGAGGAGAGGCTGCCTATCTGCAGGCTGGTCCCAGGGATGTGTTGCACCCAGACTCAGAACATGAAAATCTTGTGTTCAGGCTGGGCGCTTAAACAGAGCTTGACTTGGTCCATTTGCTTTTTTTAGTTTGTCGCTGATGGTATCTTCAAAGCTGAGCTGAATGAGTTTCTGACTCGTGAACTGGCTGAAGATGGATACTCCGGAGTAGAAGTCCGGGTCACTCCAACCAGGACTGAGATTATCATACTTGCCACCAGGTAACTGAGATGTTGCTGTTGACTCACAGGTGCTGTGAAGGCTGTAAGGGATGCTGCTGCAGGTTGAAGCTTAAAGTGGTAGATATTGCTGTGGGAAGCTACTTGGGAAAGGGATCCTGAAGTGATCTTTAGTGATACAGCAGTGTTACAACCCCTGAACTGTTAGATGCTTAGTCTTGAAGCTCTTTGGGATGACTTTAAGCTGAAAGAGGGGAGATTTAGATTAGATCTAAGGAAGTTCTTCTCTCTGAGGGTGGTGAAGCACTGGCACAGGTTGCTTGGAGAAGCTGTGGCTGCCCCATCCCTGGAAGTGTTCAAGGCCAGGTTGGATGAGACTTTGGGCAAGCTGGTGTAGTGGAAGGTGTCCCTGCCCATGGCAGGGGGGTTGGAACTGGATGATCTTTGAGGTCCCTTCAAACCCAAACTGTTCTATGATTCTATGATTACAGGCTCAGACCTGGAGACACTTTTCTCGCTTGCCCTGTACTTTTTTTTCCAGAACTCAGAATGTCCTGGGTGAGAAGGGTCGCCGCATCCGGGAGCTGACGGCTGTTGTGCAGAAGAGGTTTGGATTCCCTGAGGGAAGCGTTGAGGTAAAACTGTCTCAGTTAAACCAGTAGTAAGCGGGTTGTGCAGTTAGAGATCTATGTCTATTTCGTTACAGTATCATACTCAAAATCTCTAAAGATTTTAGTATGATACTGTAACGAAATAGACAGTAAAGTGACACACCAGTAATTTCCAGTGTTTTAATGTTGAAATCTGGTACCCTTACTAGTACTTTGCTCTAAAACAAATTAGAGACGGGGGGGAAATGTCTGTTCTGGGGTGGTGCTCATATTTATTCCTGCTTGGCCAGTGTTGCTGGTTCATGTTACACGGTGAAGATCACCGATTATCTCCAGCAAATGCTTAAACCCACTGAACAGCACAGACTCACAGAGCACATCATGATTTGACAGCTCAAGGAATATCCTGTGTGTGGTTTGGAGTGTCCGCTTCTTCTGAAGCGTCAGGCTTTGGTCTCTTGGAGATGTTAGATTTAATACACCTCACTCTCCTAGCTTTCAAAAATCGGATCTTTTCTTAGGGTTTATTTTAATACTTAAGCAGACTGACGTGACTGATGGCTTGTAAAAACTGTCTCAAGTGAAGTTGCTGTGATTGTCTGGATACCTCTCTCCAGTGATAGTTTTGGGGCAGCTTAAAGCTGCAGCTCTTAGAGACCCCACCATGGATGTTTTGATAGTCTCCTGACTTTCAGTGGAATGTCATGAGTGTGTCTCAACTCTGCCAGGAGGAGGGAACGGGCACCAAAGGAGTTACGGGAGCGTAGTGTCCAAGGATGAAGCTTCTGCTTGTCAGTATGAAAGGAGTAGCTGAACTGGGTGTAGAGGATGGGGCGTAGAGTAATATGAAGCTCTTGTGTTCTGTTAAATGAAAAGTAGCTTGAAACACAGCTCTGTTTCTGAGTTGGTTTCTTTTCCTTTGTAGCTGTATGCCGAGAAGGTGGCCACGAGAGGCCTGTGTGCAATCGCTCAGGCAGAGTCCCTGCGGTACAAGCTTCTGGGAGGTTTAGCGGTGCGTCGGTGAGTAGAGCGGGTTGAACGTGATGGCACAGCGAGGAAGTGTGGGATTCAAATACCCTTCCAGAGAACCACCTTGTCTACTTATCACTGGTTTGAAAATTTAACCCAGCAATGCTGTGTTTGGAGAGGGCAGTTTATGCTTTTGAGAATTCTGATGTATAGAAGCTCAGTACACAGTTTTGCTAGTAACAGTTTTGGTAACCTGGTGTAGTGAAGGGTGTCCCTGCCCATGGCAGGGGGGTTGGAACTAGGTGATCTTTGAGGTGCCTTCCAACCCAAACCATTCTGTGATTCTTGAACTGCTGAATAATGTATTTCCGACATAAAAGTCGAAGTCTTAGCATAGATCAGATTGCAAAGCGTGCATTTATTTCTTTCTGAATAACTGGGTGGAGGAGCGAAACACAATTTCAAGCTTTCTGGCTGAATTATAGTTAGGTGGCAGCGGCCTTGCGTCTCAGATCCCTTCAGTGATGATAAGATGACGAGTCAGAAGTGGGTGGCTCTTGTTGCGGTACCTCTGCAGCATCATGTTCTGTGATGCTGCATGTGGTTCTTCAGCAAGAGCATCCTCTCATCATTGAATGATTTAGAGGCATTTGTCTGAGAAGGGATGGGAAGCTGCACTCCTGTCGGGGGTGTGCTGGCCACCTTCAGCCTTGGAGCTGCTTTTGTGTCCCAAAAAATGCGTGCTTGTCACCGTTCCCGCAACCTTACAAGTCACAAGAGTTTTCTTTGGCTGGATTTGAAGTGCTGAAACGGTGTGAAGGTTTTTGCTGCTTTGCCTAGCATTGATGGAGCTTTGGTCGCACTGGTGTGTGTTGGGAACGCTTTTTACAAACCCAAGTTGAAGCGGTGGTTGTCCGTGCTTGGAATCGGTGTGGAATGCCTCCGTGGAGCCGCGTGGGTTCGGCAGAGCGGGAGTAGTAACGCTGCGGCTGTTGCTGCTCGCTCCCTGCAGAGCCTGCTATGGTGTCCTCCGCTTCATCATGGAGAGCGGTGCCAAGGGCTGTGAAGTGGTCGTGTCCGGCAAACTCCGAGGTCAGCGTGCCAAGTCCATGAAGTTTGTGGATGGCTTGATGATCCACAGCGGAGACCCGGTGAATTACTACGTCGACACAGCCGTGCGTCACGTCCTCCTCCGGCAGGGTGAGTGGCTGGGGTGCACATCCCTTTGCAGCTCTGGTGGGTCCTTCTGTCAGCGCTTCAGAGCCAGAAGATCTAATCTCCTGCAGGTTGGAGGCTTCCATATCACCTGTGGAGTGGTAACTCAGTGATTTTGATGCCCCACTGATCTTGCAGAGTGGTTTAGTTGCGCCATGACTAGTTGTTCTGACTCTGAAGATTCGTTGTTTTCTTGGGCTTTTGCAACTAAGCTCTCACTCTGGAGTTTGCACGTTACATCTGAACTAGAATTTTATTTGCATTTGTGTTATGTGCATGGGAAATGGAGAAGACGTGTTGAGCAGACAAGGAAATTCTGTGTAGTCGTCCCAGGTTTCATTTGCTTTCTGTTGGTGGGGATTGAATCTGTCCAGTTGAGACATGTGGCTTTAGATTTTCCAGATGCTCTCACTGGTGTCCTCTGAGGTTGGCAGTAAAACAACTTAACAAATGAAACATTGGCTGAGTTTAAGAGCTGTTGGTAGTTTGGATTGTGGTTTTCTTGGCTCCCAGGGGTAGACAGACAGAACATGGGTGCTACAAGACTCGAAAAAGCAAGTGTCGGACACTTTCCCCCCATATCTGTGTCCTGGCAAGTCTTCCCAGCTAAACCAGCCAAGCCTGCTTGCGCTTGTCCTTCCCTTTGGTAAAACACAAATGACTTCTGCATCTTAATTGGCTTCGGGTTACTTAATTGCAGAACACCTGATGCAGGAATACTAGCGTAGGCAAAGCTATTCTCCACCTTCCCTTCGGTGATGATACGATGACGAGTCAGAAGGGATGTCCTTGTGTCCTTGCAGCCTGTTCAGTGTCATGTTCTGTGGTGCTGTGCTAAGGCTGCCTTGGGCAGGATGTCCTCCTCATTGGATGATTTAGAGGCATTTGTCTGAGAAGGGATGCCAAAAAAACAGTGCAATTTTCTAGGAAAGTGAGCAGAGTTATCCCAGGAGGGATAGGGTTTAAAACCAGGGTTAGCATCTTATTGCAGCCTTCCAGTACTTAAAGGGGGCCTACAGGAAACCTGGAGAGGGACTTTTTATAAGGGTGTGTAGTGACAGGACAAGGGGCAATGGATTTAAACTGAAAGAGGGGAGATTTACATTGGATATAAGGAAGAAATTTTTTCCTCTGAGGGTGGTGAGGCACTGGCACAGGTTTCCCAGAGAAGCTGTGGCTGCCCCATCCCTGGAAGTGTTCAAGGCCAGGTTGGATGAGGCTTTGGGCAACCTGGTGTAGTGGAGGGTGTCCCTGCCCATGGCAGGGGGGTTGGAACTAGATGATCTTTGAGGTCCCTTCCAACCCAGACCGTTCTGTGATTCTGTATAGCTTGTTTTCATCGTAGTCCCAGGCTGCAGTTGGCAAAGGCAATGAGTTGGATAAAGGTGAACACGCTGATGTAAATTCACAGTAATTAGATTTTTAAGCTACAGCACATTTGTGTTGGTCAGCTTGCATCTTCAGTGTTGTCAGGGAATGTTTTTGGTGCAGACAGCGTATTTTGTAACCTTGGGGCTTGTCTCTACTGAATGTGTCCTTGCTCTTTTGTATCGAATGGGTATGTCCTTCCAACCCAAACCATTCTGTGATTCTGTGTCTGTGTTGTCCTGTCACTCTTTGCAGGAGTACTGGGCATCAAAGTAAAGATTATGTTACCCTGGGACCCAAGTGGAAAGATTGGCCCCAAAAAGCCTCTGCCAGACCACGTCAGCATTGTGGAACCCAAAGAAGAGATCTTGCCCACCACCCCCATTTCAGAGCAGAAAGGTGGCAAACCAGAACAGCCAGCCATGCCTCAGCCGGTTCCCACTGCCTGAGCGGTAAGTGCCTGCGAGCGGTGGGAGGTAGCTTTGGTGAGGATCCATGCAGAAAAGGTGGCATGTCACCAAAAAAGCTGTCACGTAGCAGGAGTACTGGGAAGAAAAGCTGCTGCTCTGTCCCAGGTGCAGTGATCAGCTGGGCTGGGTGTAGAGTGTGGCTCTGGGTGAGGGGGCCATGGTTTAACGCACGCCGCAAGCCAGCGAAGCACACCCTTCAGTGAGGATGAGATGACGAGTCTGAAAGGGAATATCCTCATCCAAGTGCCCTGTTCCGTGTTGTGTCCTACAGCAACGGATTTGGGGACCTTGGGTCACAATTTGAGTGACTTAGAGGCATTTGTCTGAGAAGGGGTCAGTGCCTCGGGTGTTTTCACATTGCACCACCTGCTACCAGGGTGCATTTGACAGCACAGGGCACATATTCCTCACATAACCTCCCCTCATGGGATCCAGTTTGGGATAGACTTAGGAGCCGACAACGTTGAGTACAATGTGTGGGCTGTTTCCGTAAGTAAATAATCAAAGTTGGAAATTCTGTCTCCTTGAATCAGTAGCTTCTAAGACAGATTGATAGCTTGACATTGTCTGAGCCTTGCTCTGGGTTGTTCCCAGTAAAAATGTGCAACTTGGTGCTTTTAAAAGATTTACTGGCTTTCTGCAGATAGAACAGCAGGAGGCCCCAAAGGCCTCTCCCAGAAGACTTCCTTAGCTGCTGGTGGAAGCCAGGCCATGGTGGTCTCCGACTGAAGCTGGCCTTGTGTGAACAGGGAGAGTTCAGGGGGTTTGCAGGGCTGCAGTGGAACAAGGGAATCTGGCTACCAGAGTCTGCTCCTGTGGGCAAAAGGGGGGATGTGAGAGATGAAATCTTGGAGTCTGTTTGTTTGTCCAGTGTTTTGGGTAGGAGAATAATTACGGGGAAATGGTTTGCCACCATCTCACTCCGTATTTTGTTTTTCCTTGTAGGGTTTGTAACATCTGCGACCAGAAGCTTGACTGTCCTGAAAACATCTCTTAATAAAATCACAAAAGACAGTGTTTGTGGAGGTGCTTTTTTTTTTTTTCCAAGATGTATTCCAGGAAAACCTTGCTCCTCCCTTCGCTATGGAAGGAATTCTGCTGCATTTCTTACAGCTTGCGTTACCCTTTTGGAGTAAACTTACCAGATCCTGATCTAAACCAAGTGGAGATAAAACGCTGATTTCCAGGCAGAGCTGGAGCAGCAATCTGGTACTTAGAGGGTCATGAACGACACTCCATGAACTGGAATAGTACTGGTAACTCTTTGCTTACACACCAGTCCCTTTCTCTGAGGTTTCCAGAAGGGGGAGTTTTTTCAGCAATGTGCAAAGCAGTTGTAGTAGTTTATACTTTTTTGGCTTCAACTGAAGTATTGACTATATTCTACTAAAATGCTTTTTTCACCTCTATTTCGATTTCCTTTGTCACTAAAAGTACGTTCACTCTGACTTTCAGGGCTGTAGACCGTATAGGAACAATATAGCTCCTGATAGGATCAGGCAACCTTCGTGGAGACACGGGGTGAGACAAACTTCTGAGTAGGTGTTTACACATCAGTTGAGGGGGAAAAAAAAGTACACACTCTGGATTTCAACCCTCCTGTCCTAAGCTTTGAGATGGAAATGGATTTAAGCAATTGGGGAAAAAACTCACCTTTGTTTGAGGCTTGACCAGACAGTCCTTTCAAAGTCCAGTTCAGGAATGGGAAGAGACTTAGGCACATCATCAGGTCACGTTGTGCACAGGATCAAAGCTTTGCTTCACTCAGACTTGGAAAACTTCAGAATCTGTTTGTTGTATTAACAAAAATTGTACAAATCTGGAAAATCCGTTGCTGGGGAATAGCTTTTCCATTGGGATTTCCATTTTCAGGAGGCTTCTCTACAGGAGCTAGACTGGCAGCTTAGGAACTGGGATTTCAAACTGAGGATGTCAGGAACTGGTCTGTCTGGCAGCGTGTGTGGATGTGTGAGCCTCAGCCTTCGTGTTCCCAGCTTCTCTGGCAGCCTCCTGGAAACTGGCCTGGCAGGGAGCTGACTGGGGAAGCTGGTTAAGCCTGTCGGAAACAGATGTGTCTTCTCGGGGTGTCAAGAAGATGAGTTTGATTTCAGGTTTCTGTGCACATCTTTCGGTGGAAAGCTTTCTAAAAAAGGTGTTACGTATTGAGTGTTAAGAGTAAGTGATACCAGCATAAATTTTTTTTTTAAATACAAATTTGGATTTGAGAAAAAAATCCAGGGGGAAAAAAGTGACAGACCAGCTTTGTCACTTGATAGGAGCAGGAAATGTGTGAAAGCTGGAAAGCCTGAAGCAGGAGAAGTGACACATAGTGCAAGACCACGCACGTTGTATCTAAATTCCTAAATGTCCCACTATGCTAGATGATGGTCAGCTAGAAATTCCTCCGGTGAGGGCTGGCTTTTCTGGAGATGGCTCCGTTTCTTTCTGGTTTAAAGCCCTCCAGCATGGTCCATCAGCCTGATCACTGGGAGAATCAAGAGATGTTTAGTTGCTTGTGTGCAAGATCGAGATGTGTGTGTTCGAGTGGTATTGCTGGACCTCTCTTCTTGCCAGGTCCACCATGCTGTGAGAAGCTGAGGACAACATCAAGGATTACCACTCTGGTGAGACTCCACCTGCAGTACTGTGTCCAGCTCTGGAGTCCTCAGCACAGGAAAGACATGGAGCAGGTCCAGAGGAGGCCGCAGAAATGATCAGAGGGCTGGAGTGCCTCTGCTATGGGGAAAAGCTGAGAGAGTTGGGAGTTGTCCAGCTTGGAGAAGAGGAGGCTCTGGGTTGACCTTATTGTGGCCTTCCAGTACTTGAAGGGGGCTTGTGAGAAAGATGGGGACAGACTTTTTAGTAGGACCTGTAGTGGTAGGACATGGGGTAATGGCTTTAAACTGAAAGAGCGTAGATTTAGACTAGATAAAAGGAATTTTTTTAAGATGAGGGTGATGAAGCACTGGCACAGGTTGCTCAGAGAGGTGGTAGATGATGCCCGATCCCTGGAAGTGTTCAAGGTCAGGTTGAACGGGGCTCTGAGCAGCCTGATCTAGATGATATCCCTGCTCATTGCAGGGAGAGGTCGGACTAAATGACCTTTAAAGGTCCCTTCCAACTCAAGCCATTCTGTGATTATCCCATAATGCTCAAGGTGTGTGAACTCGAGACCTTTCTAGCACGCGCTGGTTGGAGTGTACCACCACCATGAGCTGCTAAAGGAGAGGTAGGGCGCTCGTTGACTTCCCAGTGTCTTGAGGGTGCCATCTTCCCCAGGGTGAGTGACACGAGTGTTTAAAGCTGCTTCCAAGACAAGTTGGGGGTGGGATGAGCTCAGGAGCTCTGGGAAGCTTTTCACTTACTTGCGCTATTGTTGTTGCAGGTCGATGGTGTTCCTGGGCTGTGAGAGCTGGTGATGGAGATGGCTTCCGTAATTTTGTGCAGTGACAGGCTCTGATCCGGCAAGCACCTGGTGCCTATTCACTCTGTGATGAGCTTCACACGGATCATACAATCATGGAATGGTTTGGGTTGGAAGGGACCTCAAAGATCATCCAGTTCCAACCCCCCTGCCATGGGCAGGGACACCTTCCACTACACCAGGTTGCCCAAAGCCTCATCCAACCTGGCCTTGAACACTTCCAGGGATGGGGCAGCCACAGCTTCTCTGGGCAACCTGTGCCAGTGCCTCAGCACCCTCAGAGGGAAGAATTTCTTCCTTAGATCCCATCGAAATCTCCCCTCTTCCAGTTTAAAGCCATTGCCCCGTGTCCTGTCACTACACACCCTTGTCCAAAGTCCCTCTCCAGGATGCATGTGCCTGCCCCGTCCCAGGCGTGGTGTTTTGGCACAGGGAAAAGGGGAGATGTTTGGCACTTTAGTTTGCCTTGTGTCTAAGTGGCAGAAGGTGACAGGCTTGAATGGACAGCAGGTTTATCCCTTTCCAGCAGTGGAAGGACATGGGCCAGCAGGGTCTGACACTGCTGGATTTTCCAGCTGTGGAAGGCATATTTAGCTGTATGGTCACGGCAATGGTGCAGTTCTTTTTCCTCTTTCCCAACATTGGATCCCACCTGGAGAAGCTTTGGGTTGTAGGGTCAGGAAGGCTGGTTCCTGGAGCTAACAGCTCACTTCTTATTCTTACGCTGCCGTATTTTAGCAGCCACTTGCTGCCTTGTTAAACGACAGGGCAGGGCAGCAGGTCCTTTGCCTTTGAAACATTAAAGATGCTGGATACTTGCAGTTTCAGGAGAAAATGTCGAAGTGGACCTGTTAGAGTGGGTCCAGAGGAGGCCGTGAAGATAGTCCGAGGGCTGGAGCACCTCTGCTCTGGAGACAGGCTGAGAGAGTTGGGGCTGTTCAGCCTGGAGAAGAGAAGGCTCCGGGGAGACCTTCCAGCAGCCTTTGAAGTACGTAAAGGGGCTACAGGAAAGCTGGAGAGGGGCTTTGGACAAGGGTGTGTAGTGACAGGACACGGGGCAATGGCTTTAAACTGGAAGAGGGGAGATTTCGATGGGATCTAAGGAAGAAATTCTTCCCTCTGAGGGTGGTGAGGCACTGGCACAGGTTGCCCAGAGAAGTTGTGGCTGCCCCATCCCTGGAAGTGTTCCAGGCCAGGTTGGATGAGGCTTTGGGCAACCTGGTGTAGTGGAGGGTGTCCCTGCCCATGGCAGGGGGGTTGGAACTAGAATATCTTCAAGGTCCCTTCTCAAACCATTCTTTGATTCTGTGCAAAGCCAACCTGCTAATAGTGCTCCTTTCCCATGACAGACGTGTCATATAAATTAATCTCTTGTGTATTAAGTGTAATTTTTGTCCGTAATTACCAGATTAAGAAAGCTGTGCTGGATTTAAGGATGGCCAGGAACCTCTCTAAGCTCTTTTAAGAATATTTTGCCTCCACGCAAACCCCACGAGTGACTGTGGCTGCCAGAGGTTCATTGAAAAAGTTTTATTGCAAAATAACACAACAACTGTCATTGTGCGGTACAAGAACAGACAACAAAAGCCATCAGACGCCTGCATCCACACGATGCAAATTATTCCCAATATCCCACAGTGTGTTCTTGCCTCACCCACCCTTTTTACTCCCACCCCACCCCACCCCATCCTCCAGAACGTTCTACAGCGTGTGGGTTTCAGTGCGCTGGTTCACCGGCTGATGTCTGGCACACACACCGGGCTTTAGGCTTCCTGGGTGTCTGGGCACATCCTTGGGGGTGTCCTCCTACCTCCCAGCGCAGCGGGGAAAGCACCTGGGAACATGATCTGGGAAGAGAGGCTTAAGGACAAGAAGCTCCCGTTCTGGCTGGCTTGGATAGGAATTAGGGTAGAGGAGCTTTTCTCCAACTGTGTAACCTGTACTTTTGCCTGTAGGAAACCCCTAGTAAGAGACTTTGTAGTTGTAAATAAATAAGTGGAAATAGTCCTGTGTATGGTCTGGAGAAAAAAAAAAAATGCAGTACTGGGCTTCTACGTAGCAACCTGGCAGCGAGCGTTGGCAGGGAAACGGAAACAAGGGAATGCAGCGCAGGCGCTGCCCGTGCTGGTGTGAGGTAACTGGCACGTGGATCGCGATGCAAACATCTCCCGAATTTCCATAGGCTGGCCAGGACTTGCTTGGCGATGTCCCTCGGCGCGTAGCAAGGCTCACCTGACGCGTGCTTCGGTGCTCGTGGGATCGTACCAGTTACTCTAAATAGTATTAACCTGATGGTATCCCTTAAAGAGAAGAAGATGGGAAGAGCCTCCAAGTCTAGGCTGGAGTAGGCTGTCACACTTGCTCGTTAGCAGACAGAAATACCAGTGTCACCATAAATACGTTTGGTTTTCAGTGTGCCCTTATCCAGGTCAGCCAACAGGGAGCTAAAGTATGGAGGAGAGGAGCTTCAGAAAAGCTCAAGGTTATTAGGAAGTCATTCAGGCAGCTCTAAAGCTTTGTACTTAAACAAGGAGGTGGAAGTGAACTTGGCCCATCTCCCCGTGAGAAGCTGGCAGGAGTCCCTCGGCCCGCTACGGGAGCTGATGGCTACCAGCCCTGGTCACAACTGGGAGGACCTTCACAGTGCTGTCTCTTTCCCAGCCCTATGTGCTGATGCAGAAGCACCAGAACTGGAGTTCCTCTGGTACAGGATGTTTAACTCCAGATGTTGGCCCAAGAGCCACCTTCCTGATCCCCAGAAGGGTGGAGCACAGCCATTTCTGTCTCACGAGAGGACTGAAGGGACCTCAGGTTTATCTTTCTAGAAACCCAGCTGCTCTTTGGCCTCTCTACTCACAGCCCTAAGCCAACTCTCTCAGAAGTGTCAAGAGCTGCACTTGGCTTTGCAGGGAGTGTTCCAGCTCAGGAGCAGATGACCTGCTGCGCTTGAAGCATCAACAGTCATCCAGAGCAGGGTTAGGCAGGACAGAAGGGCAAAACTCCGTAAAATCTCCGTTCTTACATGCTGTCACGGCTCTGCTCTGCTCCCAGGGCCATCGAAGGGGCTGGACCACTGAACTGGTCCTTTGTGCTCTGTTATTTACCACTGAAGATAGAGGAGAAGCCAGGAATACATGCAAAGCAACCGGAGCAGCGCCGGCGCGGTGCCGCGTGGCATCAAAGGGAGAGAAGAATGAAGTGGCAGAGCTAAAGGTGCAGAAGCGTTTGAGATGGAAGGGTGGAGGCGTTGTGCCTTTGCAGGGCTGATGGTAGCAGCAAGGTACTTAGCAGGAGGCTTAACTCTAGTGCAGGTTGGAGCTAGACATCAGCCAGAACATCTCAGCTGAGGATGCCAGTAGCTGAGGCAGTGCGTGCCAGTTCCTTTCCACTCCTGGTGACCCTCTCGCGTCAGGCTCCCCCGTTCCTCTCTGGAGGTGGGTTTGTGCAACGAGTATTTTGGGGTGAGGTAAAGTGTATGCTGGTTTCTCATCACAATGCACCCTGGTCTGAATAGCACCCATAGTTCGAGAAGGATACAAAATAGTGTTTCCCCTTTTTTGAAATCCCCCACTAAAAAACACACAAACCAAAGCTCTGGGGAGAAGAACCACCCAACTACAACTCATCACGCATCTTGTCCCCTTTGGGCCGCACGAGCCTGCCGATGAAGAGAATGGAATTGGTTTTACTGTCCTTGATCATGAAGATGAAGGGGTGGTCAGCATAGAAGAGCTTGGGGTTCCTCATCTCTTCTCGGCCGTAGATGTCAGCGTCGTAGGGGTTCCCTTCCGTGTCCCATTCAAGAGCAGCGGCGTGGAAGACGTTGGAGAGGTAAAGGTCTTTCTTGCCAGAGATCTTTGACAGGTCAGCCTTGGTTTTGTCAATGGCTTCTGTCAGGCCCAGATCAGCCAAGTGTTTCTAGGAGGAGGAAAGAGGTCAGCAACCCTCCCAGAGATGACACGGTGCAATTGTTTCCAGCCACTTGAAAAAGGATGGCAGGGACAGAAAACCCATCATCCCACTATCTTCTCTCCCACCCCAAGGGCCTGGAAGGCCCAACTGTTTTCTTTAAGGACCTCCTTTACCTGAAGGTCATGGCTGACTTCCAGGATGACTTTAGGTAGTGAGATGGCCACCGATCTCTTCTTCATCTTGCCAGCCCAGGTCTTCAGCTGCTCCCTGTTCAGCAGTTTCTCAACCCTCTCCAGAGGCTCCACGTGGTTTGGCATGATAAAGATCATGCTGGAGAGCTTGTGAGCAAGTGGCATCTCTACCACCTGGAGCTTCTCTGTCTCATCATCATAGTAATTGTAGAGACCTTGAAATCAGAAGCAGGACACGGTGAGATGCAGGGCAGAGGCAAAGCTACCCACAACCTTGTTGCGAATTCACCCTGGACTTTCCCTGACCAGCAAGGGAGGTGAGTCCGAACGCTGTTTTGGGAACTGGCCCAGCATTATTGGAGTTGACAACTCCAAACTGCGGCTCTCGTTTGTGCCATGAGCGAGGATTTATTCCCGACAGCCAAGCACCCAACAGTAAACATGGATTCTCTCTGCTCACAGAGACTGAGGCAGCAGAACAAGCACACCCTGCTTTCTTCTCGCTCTCCAGGAGGCAAAACAATCCTGGAAGCAGTTGGTGGAAACCTGGGTAGCGGAGCACCAGTGAGCATAACTCCAGTTGGTCTTGACATGGAGTGGGGGGTTTGCAACTTACCTGTGCGATGCATCATGGGAACTCCCACGGTGTAGGAACGGGTCACCATGAAGCCACGGTTGTCCACCATCTTATGATGGAACTTCTCATCCCAGTGAGCTACAGGAGAGAGAAATTGGGCTTGTAAGGAAAGGGAATGGGTAGGAATTTCATGCAGAATTCCCAACTACTCGCTCTGCAATGGAGCACAACTCCAGCAGACCTAGGATTTGTTCAGCTTCCCATATGGGCTGCTGTGCGTTGGCTCAGGCTAGGTTTGGGGTCACTTCTATCAAGAACTGAAGGTAGAACTTACGCTTGAAGAACATGGCATTGACAATGAGGGCCCCATCAGTTTTCTCAACATCTTTCGTGACCTCTGGGAGTTTCCCATCCGTGGTCTGGGCTGCCCACTCGTTAATGGATTTCAGGGCACTCCTCTTGTCTCGGAAGTTGATCTTGGAGTGCTCGTAGTTGTAGTGCTTCTTGCTGTTCTTCACAAAGTCATCGGCGAAGTTGATGGAGGCAGGGCCGTACAAGCGGTTGCCGATCTTCCAGGTGACGTTGCGGGCCGTGCTGTTGCTGACCTCGTTCAGGAGCTCGGACAACCCGCTGTGCACGTACTCATCGTTCAGTTTGTCTGCGCTGAGCACCGCCTTGGCTTGGGAGGCGGTCGTGGCCTTGCCCCCAAGGGACACGAGGCCGAGGGAAGAGGCCACGACCACGGGGGACAGCAGGATGTTCTCCATGTTCTTGTCTTTCGCCATGGCGTGGTAGAGGTTGAAGGCCAGCGTCGTGCTGCGGTCAGCCAGCGTCGTTGCCTTGTCGCTCAGCTTCCTGTCCTCCGAGGGCACGGCCGCGGCCAGGCCGCAGAGAGTGAGCACCAGAATAATCCACATGGTTTCGGCAGCACCCAACACCTCCGAGGACCTGCTGGGCAAGAAGAGGTGACCATCAGCATGATTCAAGCCCTCCCGGGGGCATTCAGAGACCCCAGGGGCTCTTCCAGTGAAATCCACTCCTAGGCTCCAGTGACAGCCAGAGCATCTGCATCAACGCTCCACCTGGGGTACCACGAGCCCAAGTCCACGCTGGGCTTTCCCTTGAGCAACAATTAATCTTCAAGAGTCCAGGCTGCACTCCGGCATGCAGAGCCTGTGCATTTGGAATGAAAACTTCCTTTTTAAGCAATTTTACTACGTTCCTGTACGTTCATGTATGGTACAGGATTTAAGGAAGGGCCGGGGAATGGAAGCAACAGAGGTTTCTGTCCCCCAGAGCAGCAGGTCAAACCTCTGCCCTGGTCAGGAAAAGCTAAAAGCGGGATGTTTCTGCTGCCCACGTAGCACAGTGCTGCCCATCCATCCAGGGGCTTGATCCAGGGGCTATCCTGGTCAGTGTACGGCAGGGATGGTCCTCTCTGGGGACCCCAGCTTGGTACCCAAACGCTCAGCTCTCTAGACACTAGATGGAGCACATGAGCTTCCACCAAGCCAAGTCAGAGGGGTCCCTTGAGAAGATCCAAAGCTGTCTGGTCAGCTCTGTCTGACTTAATTTTGCCTGTACAGCCCTGCCAGGGAGGTACCAGGGCAGAGGAAGGTGGTGGACCCCTCCTTTCCCCCAGCAGAGCCCCTTCCCAATATATTCATGCATTAGGTAGATGCATCTCACCACGATGTAGGTGCACCCATCCCCAGTGAGGGCTCTGAGCGACCAGCTTCCCTAAATTTGCAGACTGACCAGTCCTAAACGCCGTGCCTGAACGTTTTTTGGAGCTCATCCCGCCTGTCCCCAGACCTTCCCTCCCTCCTAACTTCACGCCGCTCACAGCAAACCTTCCCGACGGCAGATTTTGGGCGGAAGGTGGAATTTAAGCAACAGGAAGAACTTTTCCCCTCGACAAGCTACCCTGAAGTTTCGTTCCTCGGTCCTCTCCTCCCACCCTGCTCCTGGCCAGCCTCGGAGGGTGCTCCTCGCACGCGGAACCAAGAAAAGGCTGCGATGGGGCAGCTCGAGGGTTAAAGCCAACGGAGCAGGAAGCGAAGGGCCTGCTGGGATTACATATGGAAGGAAACACGCACCGAGCTGGAGCAAAGCGAGTGCGCAGTTGCACCAGGGACCCTCTGCCAGAGTGGGAATTACGTAGCCTCAAGGGAGGGAGGCAATTTCCAGCCGAAAATCCTTTTTGGGAGCGAGGCTTCCGTTGAAAGGAAGAGCCATCCCGAAGAGCAAAGATTGATGCAACAGGCTCAAAACTGCCCTTGATGCGTTTTTAAGGTGCGGACAGCACAAGCGTTTAAAAATTTGAGGTTTTTTTTCTTTTTTTTTTTTTTCTTTTTTCTTCCCTTTTATTTCTAAAGATACCTTGGAACTGTTTCAGAGTGAGGTCAGCATTTGCCTTTTTTCATTCTGAAAGAAAACAGACACAAGGAGCAGTTCTCTTGCGAGCAACGGGCGGCCCGCGCCGCTTCCATCCTCAGCCTAAAAAAAGGTTAATTCCTTCTGGGACCCCCGAGAAAGCTGGCCGGGCACCCTGGGCTGCGGTGAGGGACGCGTCCCGCGGCGGTGAGATGGAGAAATATCACCCATCCTTGGATTACGGCCGAGATTAGCGGTGAATCCATAGCCCAGGGTGAAAATTGAGGGAATATGGGGGGAAGG